CTGGTGTACAGAGAAAGGTTTAGAGGCCACCTCATGTCCATTAGGCGGCGTGTTGTCTTTCTACAACAGCTGATGGATAGGAAGTTGGCATTCAGTACGTTTTAACGTACGTTGCTGTCATCTCTTCCTGCCACGAAGGGTTCGGAGACAGAACAGCTTTTAATCACCCGCTGATGAAGCGTTTTTTTCTAAAAGGTGTTCAAAGACGCAGGCCTGCTTCATGCCCACTTGCTCCACAGTGGGATTTAACGCTGGTCCTGCGAGCCCTGATCAAAGCTCCAATTCAGCCTCTGGATCAGGTTTTCACTTAAATTCTTGTCTCTTAAAACAGCCCTGCTGCTGGCTTTAACACCCGCTAAGAGGGTAAGTAATTTATCTGCCCTCTCTGTTGCTTCGTCATGCCTTAGAATTTAGGCTGACGGGCAGCTCAGCTGATTTAAGACCAAACCCAGCTTTTATGCCTAAAACATCACGAGCTCTTTTAAATCAAGAGTGATATCGTTGGAGGGGTTTTTCTCTCCCCCCCACAGATCAGAAGAAGAAGCATCTTTTCATCTTCTCTGTCCGGTGCGGGCGTTGACGTGTTACACAGCGCTCACAGCTGCAATGCGTCAAATTCAACAATTGTTTGTGCATTATAGAGATGCATCTGCAGGTCGCCCGTTATCCACCCAGCGCTTGTCACACTGGCTGTGTGAGGCCTTTTCTGAAGCCTACAGAGCATCAGATTTAGAGCCTCCTGTCAACCTCAAAGCACACTCCACCAGGGGTATCGCATCTTCGACTGCTCTGCATAATGGTATGTCAATGCAGGACATTTGCACTGCGGCTGCATGGTCAACACCCTGCTCATTTATTCGCTTTTACCTACGTGATGTGATGGCTCGTTCCATGACACATTCTGTCCTTAGTGCTCTAACAGAATGAATATTGTTGTTCTCATGGAACTCTGTTTAAGCTCACTTCTGTCTGCATGCATTACAGTGTGAGATGTTGTTATCAGTCACAAGTTGTGTCTGTGATTTTGGTTCTATTGTCACTAATCAGTTCATGACTATTGTTACCAATCAGTTCATTTGATCAATAATCAATTCATTGATATTAATCTGTTTATACTGTTCAGCCATGAACCAGTTGGTTCATGCCCCCCCCCCCCTCTTTTCAACATCTTCTTTCCATTGAAAGTTTTCCGGGGCGTTCATGCTTTGTCAGAACGCATAGTTACACAACATGCGTCTGTGCATGGCACATAATTACGCGATGCGTAGTTATGCACACGGGGAGCTGAGTGACAAGACGTTTTTTGGGCAAGCTTCCGTCTCATACGGTGTTCGAATGGACCCAGTGAGGCGAGGACCACATCCGCTTCGCCCTTAACCCATCAGCGACAGCCTTAAAGGGCGAAGCCTATATGACATAGAACGTTGGTTACGTACTGTAACCCCAGATTCTATGAATATAGGCGTAGCCCTTTAAGCGTTGGGCCTCACTGGCTCCTAAATGGCTGAAGAAAAAGCTATTTTGGGAGCCGATTTCCCGCTCTTAACATAATTTATACGGACCGGGTGGGGCACACACAGCAGGTGGGCGTGGACTAAATTTTTTCAGTGCTTATGCTGCGCATAACGGGATAAACCCATCAGCGACAGCCTTAAAGGGCTACGCCTATATTCATAGAATCTGGGGTTACAGTACGTAACCAACGTTTTGTGTCCACACTTCACGCATCTTCAGTCTCTGCAAGTGTCACTAGAAACATCCTGATGCATGTCACTAGAAACGTATTATGAAACGGAGGCCAGAACCAGGGAGCAGTCCAGCTGTTCTGTGTGGGTACAGCTTCGACAACCAAGGCTTATTGTTGAGCCCCCTCCTGTTTACTCTGCTCATGTATGATTGTGCAGCTACCCATCCAGGCTGTCACATTGTAAAGTTTGCAGATGATACAGCGGTGGTGGGATGCATCACAAACAATGATGAGTCCAGCTACAGGCAAGAGGTGGAACACCTGGAGAGCTGGTGCAAAGAAAATAACCTTCACATCAATGTGAAGAAGACAAAGGAGATGATTGTGGACTTCAGAAGGAACAAAAACATCTACACCCCCCTGAACATAAGAGGATCTGCGGTGGAAGTGGTCTCCAGCTACAAGTACTTGGGTGTACACACGAATGACAACCTCAGCTGGAGCAACAACACCACCAGCCTGATCAAGTAAGCTCATCAGAGACTCTTCTTCCTCAGACGGCTGAGACGAGCTGGTCTGTGAAGCTCAGTCCTCACCTCCTTCTACAGGTGTGCAGTGGAGAGCATCCTGTGCTCCAGCATCAACGTGTGGCATGGAGGCTGCACAGCTGCAGAAAGAAACGCTTTGCAGAGAGTGGTGAAGGCTGTACAGAAGTCTGTTGGAGTCAGTCTTCCCACCATCACAGACATCTACACCTCCAGATGCAGGAAGAGGGCTACCTGCATCATGAAGGACCTCACTCACCAAGCACACACACTTTTTGCCACACTCCCCTCAGGAAGGAGGTTGAGAAGCATTAAGTGTAGAACCACTAGACTGAGGAACAGCTTCTACCCTGAGGCTGTTAGACTCATGAATCTCTAACCAGAATAATCACTGTGAAAATCACATCATGTTGCTGCTGATCTGTTTCAATGTTGATGTGTTCATGCGTGCACATCCGCTCACACAGACTCATGTTAATGTTTGTGCTGATGTTCAACGTTTTAAGTTATGAGTGCTTAGTGTATATTTAGTTGATGTTTTTCTTAGTTCATATCTTAGATGTTATTACTGTTTTTCTTTTACATTTTATTGTTGGATGTAACTGGGACCCTGTGTACATATTTTCACTTCACCACATGTACCACATGAGGTGCGAATGACATTAAAGAAACTGACTCTGACTCTCTCTGACTTATTGTGAGCTGTTTCCGTGTTGCAGAAGAAGTGAGGAGGAGGAGTCTGCTGACATGTTTTACTTCAACACCTTCATCCATGTGTTTATATCGGTGCAGTAAGAATCATAAAATGTACAAATCACACCTTTTGTTGCTTCATATTTTTAATCTTCAGTCTCAAGCTATGAATCACTGTAAATACTGTAAATAGTTGTTACTCATGAAAAAATACATAAATGTGCCAATTTCTTTAAAATGAAATAGCATAATTTGGGAAAAATATCTATAATCCACTATCAATTTATAGTGTACAGTTAAAAAATGTTAAATAGTGAAGTTTTTTTTTTTTTTTTTACTAGATATTGTAAATTACACTTGTTTTTCTTTCAATACAACTGAATCAATCCACAAGTTAAATAAAAAAACAGTACAGTATGCTGCTCAAGTGTGTTTAATTGAAGAATGTTTAAAATAATGCAAAACCTTTAAATAACTAATTACATAACACTAGAACAATATGTAACAAGCTTGGATATGGATGTTGTTTTTATTTTATAAACACTGCAACACGACCTTAGGACTTTCATCCAAGAACATAATTTATACACAGGCACTTGGGTTTGTCTACAAGTAAGCAGGAGACTGTGTTCCAAGATACAATATAAATTTTATTTACACTAAGTTAAAAACCTATTCTAATGGAAGCAATAATGACTCTTAAAATAAATATTCAGCCAAGACTGAGGCTTTCCAGTGTTCAGTCAACTAAAAGACAAAAGGCTGGTTCAAGGTAACGAGCAGAAATTCACCCACAAGCTGTGATGCACGAGACACGAGTGGAACGGAACCAACATGAGACTGGACTGCTGCCTTCAACCTGGAATATAAATATGAAATTAAGTAAATAAAAATAAATACAGTATGAATAATATTTAAGAATTACACAAACAAACAAACAAACATGGGTCTCACATTCACAAATAAAAATAGCTGAAAATGGCCCCAGCCTTTAGTTCAGCCAACCAATCTTCTCTCAAGTAAGACACTGCCTAATTATGGTGACTCAAGCAGGAGTGAGAGTCCACCAACACAAGATCGTTTCAATTATTGAGCTTATTGACATTATTGTTATTATTATTATTATTGACAATATTTCTGTGAAGATCTATACATTGTGAGTCAGTGCATGTAACTTGATCTCTCCATGACTTACATGGCAAGTTTATAATGTACCATCTTAAATTGATATTTACCTGTGGGTGGATGTGCCACCAGGTGAAGTGAGTTTTACGTGGACTCCAGTAGCAGCTTCAGCCTGGCTAGCTTTCTGTGAGATGACAAGTTGCTGTTTCTGAGCTCTCTAAAAGCAGACTCCTGCTTAGCTGGTGCGGTGAAATTATTCCAGGTAAAGAGAGAAGGAACAGCTCAACTTTTAAAGCAGCTGGTGGTGGATCCACGGACAAAATCCTCCTGAGTGAAATGCCGACTACATACAAGTGCTCCGCTTTATGCAGAATTCAGGACCATCATCTCTTCTGATCGCTTGGATCCACTGCTTCCTTTGGTCTGGGTACGTCGTGAAAAGCATGGTAGGACAGATATGGTTGTTTTCTTGCCCCACAAGAACAACCAGGAACTGAACAAAAGCAACTGCGCAGAGACTGAGCCATTTTCCTCACTGTCTAATGCTAACGCTATAGCCAACGGAAGTTGTTTAACACCACATCCACTTTAAAATGCGGAAGCGTGAAAAAGGTCTATAGAAAGCTCCCGGGGAGCAACTGAGGAAGAGGTGTCCGGCTTAGAGACACCACGCGATGTACAATGACTGGGAATCAAGCCCAGGACCTTCTTGTTTGTTTAAGTTATTTATTTGTTTATTTTTTACACACTTTTGTGTCCTGAATGTGTAAAAAAAACATAACCACAGTAATTTACAACAATGATTACCCCTCAAGGGTACTTGGGACTATAATGGGTGTTGGACTTTACAATTGAGAGGTCAGTGTTGGCGATGCAAAAGGAGCATCCTCCACACTGCTCTGATGAACTGAATGCACGGACAAACAGGAAATGGAACAGCTCGTACTCACCTAATATCAGGATACTTGGAAACCAAAGTGGAGACCTCCAGGAACAACAGGGTGGGATCAGTCAGCTTGAATACTTCAGCGATTGCAGCAATGGCACCACAAAGTCGGTCTGTGCCTTCACCCTGAACGAAAGATTCAACTTCTATCACCAACACACGAACAGTAACAGCATTTTATCAGACCAGTTCATGATATTCAGGGTTTTGATCTTTGAACCACATTATCTTGTTTTGCCTTTGACACAGTGATGCCTGTGAGGTGTCTAAAAATAGTCAGAGGTAACACAAAAGTTGTAGAGGCAATTATAAGGAAACTGCATTTATCTGATGTTCATCTAATGATGTGAAGGTCTGCAGTCATTACAGCTTATAAAATATAAAAGTCTATGTTGGTTTTGTAACAGTCAATGTCACTCATCAGAGCCTCTTCTGGCTTAATTAAAAGCCTTCATTGTCAGAGATGCTAAAGTTTCACTTAAAAATGGCATTATGTATACCGAGTCTTGGAGAGCCTCTGTGACACAATCATCAACAAAAAAATCAAGAGGCCCTAAGCTTTTGCATCTCCTATTTGTATTATTATACATTGATGACTGCATTACTTTTTACCTAGCACAGAGCAAAACGGTTTTGCCAAGAGGGGGTCTTGCTTTAGCGATGTATGAATCCTTGACATTTGCATAAAACAAGTCCAGCGTTTTGCTTTCTCTGGTAGAGTAGCTGACAAACTGTTGGAATGTTGTAAGTGTTGTAAGTAGTGATGTAAGTTTTGCCCCAAGCGCCTCCGCCAGGCTTGGCTCCAGGGTGGGAACCGAGGGAAAAACTCAGATTGGTAGAACCCTCCACTCTGGAGATGGAGGTGAGATGGACGGGCGCCTTCAGCTTGCTGGGCCCAGCTGCAGCTTCGTTCCAGTATGATGTCACTGCTGGAAAGCGGGGCCAGATGGGGTCAGGGCAACGAGCCGGGGCGGAGCCAAACCTTCCCGCCATACCATCCGATCTGGGCGGAGGGAGGCGAGGGACGGAAAGTCCCTTTGTGTCAACAGCCTCCTGGATTATGTCGGGCAGCTCCGAGAGGAGGGCACAGACAGCTGGGAGCGGTGTGGTCACCGACATGGGAAAACCCGGGGTGGCTGAGTATCCGCTCAGCCCCCCTTCTTCCGTCACTCCAGGAGGAAGGGGGAAGCGGGGCTGCTGCCAGCATCGCCTTTTTCAGCGGAATCATCCATACCATACCATACCATACCAATTTATTTATAAAGCACTTTAAACAGTGACAAAGCACACCAAAGTGCTGTACAGGGACAAACAGAACAAGCACACAGCAACAGATTGCATAACAGGACACCAAAAAGTAGAAACCAACAAAAACATTAATGGATAACAACAACAACTGCAACATGACCAACACAGTGTGATGCACACAGACTCAGCACAGATCACACAGTGCTGAAAGCCAGGGAATAAAAGTGTGTTTTTAAGCGAGATTTAAAAACTGTGAGGGAGGGGGCCTGTCTAACGAGCAGAGGTAACTCATTCCAAAGTCTTGGGCCTGCTACAGAGAAGGCCCTGTCACCTCTGCACTTGAGACGGGTTCCTGGGACTGTTAGGAGCAACTGGTCTGCTGATCTGAGAGAACGTGGTGGGACATACGGCTGGAGCAGATCAGTAAGATAGGAGGGGGCAGAGCTGTTTAGTGATTTATAGACATACAAGAGTATTTTGAATTTGATTCGAAGGTGAACCAAAAACCAGTGTAGGGAGGCCAAAACAGGTGTAATGTGCTCTCTTTTGCTCGTGCTGGTCAAAAACCGGGCTGCTGCATTTTAGACCAGTTAGTCTAGCTATGGAGGTCTGACTGATACCAAAAAGGAGTGAGTTGCAATAGTCGAGCCTGGATGTAATGAATGCATGAATTACTGTCTCCAGGTTATTTTTGGACAATATGGGCTTCAGCTTAGACAGTCGCCTCAGCTGGAAAAAGCAGGATTTAACAATCATATTTACATGATTGTTGAGTTTCGGAGAAGGGTCAAGTATCACTCCTAGATTAGTGACTCTTTGTTTCACTAACGGTGACAGAACGGATAGGTCGATGCAGTGGTTGGTGATTGTGTCATTGGGAGGAAACAGCATAACTTCAGATTTCTTCTCGTTGAAACTCAAGAAATTTAAAGCCATCCAATCTCTGATGTCAGCCAGGCAGTCCAGTAACGGTTGAATAGAGCGAGTACCGTTGAGTCTGAGGGGGAAGTAGATTTGGCAGTCGTCGGCGTAGAAATGAAAAAGTATGTTATGTTTCCTGAAAATAGCACCTAGTGGCAGCAGGTATAAAGAAAATAAAAGAGGACCAAGGATGGACCCTTGCGGTACTCCCCATTTAAGCGCTGCCGAGGCTGAACTAAAATCTTTGATGGAGACACAAAAGGACCTGTCAGCGAGGTAAGATCTAAACCATTCGAGGGCTGACCCAGTGATGCCCACCCACTGCTCTAACCTCGCAATGAGGTCGATTGTATCAAAGGCAGATGTGAGGTCCAGTAAGAGAAGGAGCACAGAATCACCAGCGTCTGTGAATAGGAGAATGTCGTTAAAAACCTTGAGTAGAGCAGTTTCAGTGCTGTGGAGAGGTTTAAAGCCAGACTGGAATAGCTCTAAGACAGCATTATCCTCTAGAAAGCATTTCAGCTGGGACTCCACTATTTTTTCCAGTAGTTTAGCGACAAATGGGAGTCTGGAGACAGGCCGGAAGTTGGGCATGACTGAGGGGTCAAGGCTAGGCTTTTTCAGGTTGGAGGTTGGACAGCAGCATGTTTAAAAGTTATTGGCACCACACCTGAGGCTAAGCTGCTGTTCACAATGCCAAGAACAGGAGGGCCCAGAACAGGAAGAAGCTCCTTAAGGAGTCGAGGGGGGACAACGTCAAAAGGGGAGCCAGATGGCTTCATGCCGCACATGACCTGCTCCAGGGAAGACAGAGAGATGGGCTCGAAGTGGTCAAGAACAGCAACACAATGAGATGGGATGGACGGATCATGAGCAGGTGGAGAAATGAGTGCCCGGGTGTTTGCAACTTTTTCAGAAAAGAAATGGAGGAAGTTTTCACACAGCTCAGTTGAGGCTTCTAGAGGTGAAGGTTCACTGAGGTGTAGAACTGAGTTCAGGGTGGAAAAAAGGGCTCGGGGGTTGTGGGAGTTTGAGGCAATTATCGCAGAAAAGAACTTCAAATTGGCGGCTTTAACTGCCTTCTGATAATGAAGCCAACTCTCCTTTAGGATTTGAAAAGAAATCTGCAGCCTGTCTTTACTCCACCTGCATTCTGCTCTCCTACACTGCTGTCTAACGGCTTGAGTGATGTCATTAAGCCATGGTTCTGATAAAAGTTTTGTTTTCCTGGTTTTAATGGGAGCAACACGGTCCAGAATATTTAAGCAAACAGAGTTAAGCTGAGAGGTTAGCTCCTCGGTGGAGAGAGACACTGAGAGCTGATCGATCCTCTCAGAGCTAAAAGCTTCAGTAAAACGTGCAGCAGTGAAACGGTTAAAGGCGCGTGAAGTACGTGCAGAATCACATGACTTAGCAGTAGGACAAGGCGGGATGATATCAAACAAGACAGGCATGTGGTCTGAGAGAACGTTGTCACCGATTACCAAATTACAAACAGAGACATCACATCTTAAAATGAGATCCAGAGTGTGACCGTGTTGTTGGGTGGGACCATTTACATGTTGAGTTAAATTAAATGAGTCCAACAAATCAAGGAAGTCCTTCACTAATGGCTTCTCCTGACAACAGAAGTGAATATTAACGTCACCAACGATAATAAAGTGATCATATCTTGGTGTGATGCAAGCCAGAAAATCAGAGAATTCACTTATGAAGTCCTTGGAACGAGGGGGGCGATAAACAATCGCGCACAGAACGGGAGGAGAATGCCCGAGTTCAAAAGCACTCAGCTCAAAACTGGAGCAGGGCATGAGGGTGGACAACTGTTTACAGGAAAAGTTTGATTTAAATACAGTTAATATTCCACCACCCTGCCGACCTGATGGCCGCGGGGCATTAAAACACAGACAGTCAAGAGGTAAAAGTTCCACCAAGGCAATGAATCACCCAAAGGCAACCAGGATTCCGTGAGAAAGAGAAAATCTAGTCCCTCGTCTTTAAAAAAGTCATTTAGGATAAAAGTCTTGTTGGCAACAGACCTTGTGTTGATGAGGCACGTCCTGATCTGGTCCGACACAGAACCAGCCATGGTGGGGGTGGTGCGCGCCAACGGTTGCAGATTTTTAAAAACAGCGCCTCCAGGACGGTCCAAGCGCTGGGCCGGTAGACAACACCCATATTTTCCCTGGTCCGGGCACGTAGGAAGCTGGCTGTGGAAACGTTGACCACGCAGAGCTTTGAGTTTTACCAGCCGGCCGGCATGTTTTCCCCGGCGTCTGGAACGATATCTCCGAGAAGGCAGGCTTGGGGCCCAGTGTAAACAAGCAGGCACAGAAGGGGTGGAAGAGGGGGGGGGGTGGTGTCCCGAGTCACGATCAAAATCGTCCGAATCAGCGACAGCAGATACAGACAATCGAAGATCGAGGATCTGTTGTCGGTCATACACAAGCAGCGAGTTGATATCCCAGACAAAAAACGAAAAAAGCAGAAATAATCCAAACAGTATCATCAGAGGTAGATTACTGGCCATGTACAAGGGCGCCATCTTACCGGACACTTCCGGTAAGATGGCGATCCATCCGATTCACCGCGCGGAAAAACATTAAAAAAGGCAATAGCGTCTTCCAGCGAGTAGCGGCCTGCCACGGAAAAAACACTCCTCGGCACTTACCTTGAACAAGGCTGTTTGTCTCTGCTTCTCCTCGGGAGGGAGGAGCTCACAGGGACGGTAGGAGGTGGCGAGGTCGGCATGGTGGGGACCAGGCATCCTTCGCAGATGTTGCTGGACATCTTTTCTTCTTCATTCTTCTGACAGTGCTAGCTAGCTGGCTGAAGAAAAAATGGGAGCCGATTGCCTGGTCTCACCGTAATTTATATGGACCGGGGATGGGGCCCACACAGCCGGTGGGCACGGACTAAAGTTTTCAGTGCTGCGCGCGAAGGGATAAACCTACTAGTGATAGCCTTTAAGGACGAAGCCTATATGAAATAGAACATGGTAAAATACTCAAAACAAGAACGTAAAGCATAAAAAGCATACTTAATATGTTTATAAATAAGTATATGTATTGTATTTTTTATAATAGGTAGATCACTTGGACTTGGTCATGTAGTGAGTGAGTGAGTGAAAATCCCAAACACAGTCTTGTCACTTCTAGCCTGCATTGCTCATGTTTGTGCTGAACATGAATAATGGTACAATGAATACAAAGGATGCAGCTTTAAGACTCACCGCTGCCAGTTTCTTGAAGAGGAACTTGAACTGTTCAGCTTCCTTGATCATCCTCTCAGCTCCATCTTTCCTCTCTTCAGCATTTTTAAAAGCAATTCTCTTCTGCATAACTGCTTTAATGTACTCAATCACCACCCTGCGCAAAGCATCATTCGTCATTTCCTGCACAAAGCACAGTAACAGGTCAGAGAGCTATCACACCTTGGAAACATGAGAAGGAGTCACTTCCAAGGTCACATCTTATACACACAAACTTTGTTTTTTTTACCCTTCTGTTAAAGAAAAACACCAAAATGTATCTGAAATAACTTGAAGTGGACAAAAGTAATAAAAAGTAAAAACAAATACTAATAATGAGAAAGAAAAGAAAAAGAAACTGGCCTTGATGTTAAAAAAAAAAAGATGATACCACTAGAAAAAATTGATAATTTGACCATAGGGACGTATTAAAATAAGGTGTGTCCTATAATCTGCATCACAGGTGTCTTCATTCTGGTACTGTAAAGCGCCTTGGGGCCCCTCATAGGGGGCTGGAAGGCGCTATAGAAGTAAGCTCCATTTACCATTTATTTACCATTCTGTAATCAGCCTGTCTGCCTATTTAAAGAGCAACAAGAGGTATGGCAGTGTCCCCCGCCGCTGAGGGACTTGAATAGTGAATGTTTGTAGTTTTCGAGATGTGTTTTTCTGGACTACAACAGAATGGGGAATACAAGAAAACCTAAATGTTTTTGGTACAAAATAATCAAGTGGGTAGGAGTTACACTGTGTATAAGAAGAGAGATAGTTTGTCAGAGGTGGTATAGAATGACAGATCCTGATGAATAAAGGGAGCGATTTTATCCACCACCCAGTACAATGGTGCTGCCAGGGGTTGCCAAGTGTATAAAACAACAGAAACAGAACACTAAGAGCCTTCACCAAGAACTTAATGGGAATGTGGAAGACAACAATAAAAGCTAATGCAAAGCCATCCTGATGCATACATGCATCATGCATGCATGATGATGCAAAGCCAGTTGCACAAGTCTGCATCAAATGTGACATATACCAAGGTGATATGCCAATGTCCCCACTCCTGTTCAGCATAGGCCCAAACCCCCTCAGCCAGATCAATGCAAAGAGTGGCTATGGATGCCGGTTCCAAAATGGAACAATCAGTCACTTCTAGATGGATGATATCAAGCTGTATGCCAAAAATGAGTGAGACATCGACTCACGTTCCACCTCACCAGGATATACAGCAAGGACATTGAAATGTCATTCAGGCTGGATAAATGCAGTCGAATGGTATGCAAGAGAGGCAAGGTGTCCAAAATTCAATGTCTGAACTACCTACCAATGTAGCATCTGTCAGGTGCTTGCAAGAATCCACTCTCATGTGATGTTACTCTTTATAACTCACCGGTAAGTTCTTCCTTTTTCAAAAGAAGTGGCTGATATCAACAAATCCTACTAGTGGCTAGAGAGGGCTGGACTCTTTTTGTGTCATGGCAGCACAAAAACAGGCCCTCAGCACAAGATCAATAGAGGCTGGGGTTTATCATAACAAACAAGACCCAATGTGCAGGCTGTGCAAAAATGGCCCAGAGACAGTCCAACACATAATAGCAGGATGTAAGATCCAGGCAGGTAAAGTGGCTGGAATAATGTACAGGAACATCTGGAATAATGTACAGGAACATCTGGAATAATTGGGGGAGTGGTGGCGCAGAGGTTAGAGAAGGTGGGCCTGTGATCGGAAGATCGCCGGTTCAAGCCCCGGTACCGACAACATCAAAAATGTGGGTGGGGTAGGTGAAGCACCCACACCTGCCCCCACCCTCATTTGCCCTACTCTGGGCCAACTTACTCTGAGCAAGGCCCTTAACCCCCATCTGCTCCCTATTCGGGTCTCTCTTGAAAATGAGTTCTTGTGGCTCAATGAGACTACCTGTATATAAAAAAAAAATAAAAAAATGTGCAGGAACATTTGAGCTAAGTATGGCCTATAAGCCCCACAGTCAAAGTGGGAGACGCCACCAAGGGTGGTGGAGAATGGAAGGGCTAAGATACTGTGGGACTTCCAGATCCAGACCGACAAACAGGTGATGGCTAACCAACCAGATATTGTGGTGGTCGACAAGCATTACAAGAAGGCAATGGTGATAGATGTAGCAACTGTAACATCAGGAAGAAGGAACATGAGAAGCTTGTGAAATACCAGGGGCTGAAAGAGGACATAGAGAAGTTGTGGAGAGTCAGAGTGTCAGTAGTCCCAATGGTCACTGGAGCACTTGGTGCTGTGACCCCCAAACTGGATGAGTGGCTCCAACAAATCCCAGGAACAATCTGAGACATAGATCTCTGTCAAGAAGAGCTGAGTCCTAGGAACAGCTAAGATACTGAAGAGAACCCTTACACTTCCAGGCCTCAGGTAGAAGACCTGAATTTGAAGTGAAGAGGAACCACCCAAGTGGAAGAGTAGGGCAAGCTACAAGTTTTTTTTATATGCATGTATGGTAGTGGCCATCTTGGATTTTGACATGGCAATCCAGTTTTCAATACTGAACTTTATTACGCCTAGATTTAGTCACACACCAAGACAGAAGTTGGAACCTCATTTATTTTTCCAAGTTATCGAGCTCACAGCATGCACAGATGAACAGACAAAGGGTATTTCCAAGTCCCCATCCTCACTCCACAAAAAGGGACAAAAAGTACTTAGTGTACTGTTTTATACCATGGTGTGTACCACACAGCCTCAAACTAAGACTATCAAGGTGTTCTGTACACTGTGATAGGCCAGTTTTTACAAAATAATTTGGTTGAACCAAAATTCAAAAGCAATGAGTGATTTTCATTAGCTTGATTTTTTTTGTTGTTTTTTTACCCGTTATTACTTTGGAGTTATTTCAGTGACATGTTTTTTTCTTCATTTAATAAAAGGATAAAACCATATTTATTCCTGTTTTGATTTTAATTAATTTTTTTCATTTTATCAATGTGATGGAAATATTTTCTTTATTTGTAGATATTGTGCTTGCTTCATCCTACAGGGCTGAACTAAAGACAACTAGAGAGCACACTCCCTTTCCTACCCACACTTCCATCTGTGACATTGTGGAGGAGCAAAGATGCGACCAAAGAGGGCAACAGCTCACAGACGACAGCAACTATTTGATTAACAGCAAGCCCAATTGGATCTGTGTCACAAATTATTTGCAATATTTTGACAATAAATGAATAGAAATGATAATGTTCATTTCATTCAACAATCGTAAAACAGCTAGAAGGTAAATAAGGACATCCTGATGCATGGTCAATAATCGAGGCAGAAAAATCTAAAAAAGTTAAGTCTGGTCCTCTGGATATTCAAAAAACAAAACAAAGCAAAACAAAACAAAAAATAAAGTACAAACATTTCGTCTTTCATCCAAAAGACTTCTTCAGTCAATAAGGATAAGGTAATAAGGACAGTATATCATTTAGAATTATCTCAACTAGATCTGAAGTCAGTCAATAATACACACAACTCAGAAATTACCATACATATAAAGGGTATTGCATAACAGTATTGGAATAATGTAAATGTATAATTATTTACCTGTTATGTAGGTACCTGTACACTTAGAAAATGTTCACTGAATACCCAATTAGTTAACCCTCTTCTCAACAGGTCAGATTTGTGTAATGGAAACCTAAAAATAGTCAAATATATAAGATTGCACAGAGTATAAATGTTACATAAACTGGTACGTTTTCCTTTTTCTCTTCGTTTGGTACAACCATAGTACATACAGATTTGTGGCATTTTTATGTCCATTAGATACCTTATAATAATAATAATGTAATATTATAATATTAGATTAAAATTATCATTAATAATTTTTACAATTTTTACATAATCAGCCCTTAGTGCTGGCTATTTTGCCAATATCTACAACAAAGCTAAGTCCAGACGCTTGCCCTCTCTGGTTATGGCTCCCGTCCCTCCAGTGAGTCACGTCATGTGACCATGGCACCCTCTCTTGGTCTTATTTAACTCTAGGCCCATCTTACCTGATTGAAAGGTTTTTTGATTTTGTTGAAGTCATTGAAATAATCCTCCACCGTCACACAGATGGTGTCCACAGCATGTGAACCAATCAACCACTTCCTGGTTAATAGCTCATTCAGGTGGTTCTGGTCAAAATCAAAGGAGATAAACTTAATGAAGCCCACGTGAAACTGACTCTTTCAGAGATTTTGTTCCTGAGAATATACTGAAAAGAAATCCAAGAGGCACAAAGTCTGAAGACAGTTAATAACCTCATATTTACTGACCTTGTCTTTGCAAACACTGAACATTGTTAAATAAGTGCACATAATAAAAAAATATTCTAGACATTTTGAAGGGGAGTTCAGTAGAAAAGTTAGAAAAAACAAATCCTCCATGTGGGAAATAGCGCATTAAATGACCTCAGTTTGGAGAGATGGTTTAATTCTGGCCTATAAGCCAACTGTCTGATACTAGTCTAATAATCAGAAAAGATTGCTGCTCTCTTAAAACAAACAACTCCAATATCAAAGATTTCATAGGGGTTAATACCATTTTCTAAGCCTTTTCTTGTCATACATTGTTATTCAGGCACAAATATTATTATAATGTTGCAGGATGTGCTATAGCAACTGCTGCTGGAGCTGTTATTTGTGCTAGCTTCTAACCATAGAATCTTATGTAAATTAAAGGCCTATCACTACTTGAATGAATGCATTTTGCCCGCCTCATTTAATACCCGAGTTTTAATCTGAGATCTTGGCATACTCACAGTCATTTAGGTCAAACCTTGAAAGAAATGTTAAGTGCAACTTCATGTGTCACACTCAAGAGTATGTGTTGTGAATGACTCTCAGCCACTACTGCATAAATTTTAACTCAACATCTTTTATAATGACAAGAGTTATAGCTCTATTTTTGTGTTTGATAATGGTGATTAGCTATGATGGCCATCTTGATTGGATAAACTTCCCAAATTCTTGTGTTGCATGTCTGCAAAATGCTAAAAGTTTTAAGCATGGATCTTGTGCAATCAGTTAGCACTCTGAACTTATATTGGCAATCAGTCTCGGCTGCAACCACACCAAATTATAAGTAAATATCTATAAAAGTGACCGAGTTGCAGCCAATAATTTACGTTTTTTTTAAGGTCTGTTGGTTAATCACAAGATAATCAGTTTTAGATTTTTATCAGATAATTGATTTCTGAAAGTTTGAAAAAAGTTGTCCAGTGCTTTATGAAAGAGAAACACACAAAGAGGCAAAATATTGGTTGCCCTTTTTCCTTTGGTGGTGAGTGTTAATAAATACAGTGAAATGTGAAATGGACAAAATTAATTGTTATAAGATGATATTTATTTGAACTGCTATGAAATTGTGGATACTGAATTGTTTTAAGACAACATCAACCCACTTTGGAGTCATCCTCAACATAATTATTCATTATTTTCCACAGAACCCTTCTTCAAAATATTTCAACAACTGAAGCATTAAGAAGGTGGCATATTTTTTCTCTTTTGAAGAAAATATCAGAACATTTACACAAATATGTGCAAGGAGCCTGATGTCTAAATGTCATCAATAGCAATAGCAATAAAACCATAAATCAAAAAAATAAAGTCAAACATTTTTAAAAACACCTCATCTAAACTGGATCGTAGTGAGTTAGTTCCACAAATAAGCACGGGCATTAGGTTAAACAAAGCAAACAGTGAATATGGTTGTAAGTACTATTTTTTTTCTCTATGTGCTCTGGTGAAGACAGACATGTCCTCCTGTGCTCCGTCCCCCCACTTCCCTGCTTTGCTTTCTTTCGTCTTGTGTGAACCCTTAAAGAACCTCTTTTTTTTTTCCTGCATACCTCCCTAATTCGAAGGATTTTGATCAGATGGTCTCTCAACAAAATTGATAATCTTCTCCCAACAGGAATCAGGGTAAGGAGGACCCTTTTACCTTGATGGAAACAAATTGGATTCATGATGACAACTAGATTCTGCTGTTTGGGTTGGTGAAATCTGGATGGTCTTCAAATTTGTGTGGATGTGTCGAAGCTTGGCAGCACTCAGACTGAATTATGTAGAGCTGCGTCAGAGCTAGAGCAGGCTGTTAACAGGACTGTGAACTTTCTGGCAGCACCCATCAATGATTGGGAATAATCTTGGAGAAAGCTGTAAGCTTGACTTTCGGCGTAAGGAATCAATTCGGCTGTTTGGAGTCACCATCAGAGAAATGTACCAGCGAGACTTTAAAAGGCAGAAACGGCAATTCACGAGTTCTGCCTGACCCAAACTGTGGCCTTGATGGCAGACTTATCTCAATTCCTCCTGGCATGTTTAGGAAAAACAACGACGCTTTGTCTGTCTCCTCACCCCTCCCTTCCCCAAGGCCGTGGACATGTGACGGGACTTCAACCGAGCTGATGATAACAAATACCTCTTATCTGGACAATGGCTGAAGGGGGGGCTCTGGACTATGCTACGACCTTCCCTTAAAATTCAATGTCTTCACCGGCCTATATGTATATGTATCACATCTATTTATGGGCTATGCTGTGGTAGAACAAAGTCCATGCTCAATAATCCAGGTATACAATCCAACATTTTTCAGTCAGGTCATCTGGACAGCTTCTTTTTTTTTTTTGTGCTGAAACATTTCGCCTTCGGTCAGCGTGGCCGACTGAAGGCGAAACGTTTCAGCACAACAACAAAAAAAGAAACTGTCCAGATGACCTGACTGAAAAATGTTGGATATGCTGTGGTAGTTTTTTTTGATGGCTCAAATCTTGCCCTGTCTAGGTCATGGTATGAGAGATCTTTTTTTTATACCATCTTTCCTCATGTTTTCTTCCCTTTTCTCATCTAAGCAAAAATAATATTCTGAAGAAGAATAAGAGGGCTGCACTAATTAGCAGCAGCTTCGTGCACTATGTCCATCTTTCGGACGATTGTACATACATGTTCTCGTTGTATCTCGGTGCAATGACAATAAAGCTTATTCTGATTCTGAGTGTTCTTACTTCCAGGTCCAGGAAGACTTCATCTAAGAGGAACTGACAGCCGTCCTTGGCCACCTCGTTAAGCGTCCTTTCGATAACAGAGTCACTGTCACTGAGCTCTGACGACTGGGAGTACTTTCTTTTCAGACTGTTGATGGACTCTCTGATAAAAACACGACAAAACCACACCATTACAACTACATTACAAACAGTCCAAAAACATAAGAAACACAAGACGTAGAATTCCCTGAGGAATACATACAGGTGCTCATCATAAAATTAGAATATCATGAAAAAGTTTATTTATTTCAGTAATTCCATTCAAAATTTGAAAATTGTATATTATATTAATTCATTACACACAGACTGATATATTTTAAATGTTTATTTATTTTAAGGTTGATGTTTATAACTGACAAATAATGAAAACCCCAAATTCAGTATCTCAGAAAATTAGAATATTACTAAGACCAAAAAAAAAGGATTTTTTAGAAATGATGGCCAACTGAAATGTATGAACATGAAAATTATGAGCATGTACAGCACTCAATACTTAGTTGGGGCTCCTTTTGCCTGGATTACTGCAGCAATGCGGCGTGGCATGGAGTCAATCATTCTGTGGCACTGCTAAGGTGTTATGAGAGCCCAGATTGCTCTGATAGTGGCCTTCAGCTCTTCTGAATTATTGGGTCTGACTTATTGCATCTTCCTCTTCACAAAACCCCATAGATTTTTTATGGGGTTAAGGTCAGGAGAGTTTGCTGGCCAATTAAGAACAGGGATACCATGGTCCTTAAACCAGGTACTGGCAGCTTTGGCACTGTGTGCAGGTGCCAAGTACTGTTGGAAAACAATATCTGCATCTCCATGAAGTTGGTCAACAGCAGGAAGCATGATGTGCTCTAAAATTTCCTGGTAGACGGCTGCGCTGACCTTGAACTTCAGAAAACACAGTGGACCAACACCAGCAGATGACATGGCCCCCAAACCATCATTGACTGTGGAAATTTTATACTGGACCTCAAGCAACGTGGAATCTGTGCCTCTCCTTTCTTCCTTCATGAGCGGATGTGGCTGAGTGGGAAGGAGATTGATCCCCAAAATCTAGCAATGCATGGTCCCGGTCATCCTCTCCTTAATACAGTGCAGTTGTTCTGTCCCATGTGCAGAAAAACACCCACAAAACATGATGCTTCCACCCCCATGCTTCACAGTAGGGATAGTGTTTTTGGGATGGTACTTATCATTCTTCGTCCTCCAAACACAGAGAGTGGAATTAAGACCAAAAGGTTCTATTTTGGTCTCATCTGACCACATAACTTTCTCCCATGACTCCTCTGGATCATCCAAAAGGTCATGGTCAAACTAAAGACGGGCCTGGAC